AGCCTGCGAGCCGCTCCTGGAGAAGCATGGCGCGATTAGTTCTTAGTGCGGTGTTCTCTTATTACTATATTTATCCGACTATCAGGTGACTGCGTTTTCGTCGAGGATGAAGGAGGGTAAAAACCTGACCCAAAATGTACGTTGACTGGTCCAGAATTTCTTGCTACGCTTAAGGAGCAGGTTTTCTGTGGCATAGCTGAAAAGTACAGTGCTTTTCTGGACAGTAAGATAGCATGCTTTAGCTAAGAAAGATCCCGTCCTACATTTAGTTTACAGATCCAGAACTTGAGGGACGGGGGAGAGAAAAGGAGAAATGCCATTTTCCCTGTAGAGCAAGAAAAAAGAAGTATTCTGCTTACTGAAAGGATGAAAGGACAGCACAGCACAGCTTTATCTCCCAGATTTCTGTGTGTTTTGGTAGTGAGAGGGGAGGAAGAGTCTGAAAAGCTGAAACGATGTCTGGGAAAAATAGGGAAAAAATAGGATCTGTGGAGAAAGAGGTGGGATAGCAATGCAGAGTTTGGGATGTAAAGGGAAATGGTAGTGATACAGAAGTGGAGATGGAGAGGCTAAGTGTTGCAATATGGTGGTTTTTTGCTCCTCAGCTAGAATACGTGTCTAGTCAGTGAGGCTGCAGCATCCTCTTGCAGCCTTGATCGTGAAAAGAACATGTGCGTGCTTGGGGAGAGTCCTGTGCTCCTTGTCACCACCACCACCTCCCAGATGGAGGTGGCAACTGTTCTGTCTGGGCCTAGATTTTTGTCTAAACGTAAGGTTGAGCATGAGTGTATGGTAAGTGCTTAGGATGTTATTTCTGCGGGGGGGAAAAAAATGGCCTTTGGTACATTTGTGATGGTTCTGTGCAGGTTTTTATTTTGCTTGTATTCTGTAGAAGTCTCAGGAAGGGTCATTGTCATAGCACATACTAGACTTTTCCAAGGTCATAGTCAAAGTATGTGGCACAAGTTAGCCTAGGTACATAAATTCATGTATGTAAGACTCAACAAGGGATTCTTCTGGCTATGACTCTTCACTGCAATTATTTTCTTCAGAAATGGATTCAGTGAGCAACCATTGATGGCTGTGTTGTGGATTCTTTGGGTTGTAGAACTTTTCTTCCAGCCAACTTTCTGTTAAAAGTTCAGCTCATCTTGAACTTTGCGATACAGCTGTCCACTTCCTACTTTTCAATAAAGTTCTCGAGGATCATTGCCAAAACACTTGTTTGGAGGTGGATTACTGGCTATTTTATGCTGAGTGATTGGTTTGCTTTATCTCCTCTGGGGGAGGTTGTTTTGTGAAGAGACTTGATGAATGAGAGAAAATTTTAGTGTTTCACTTGGTTGCTTTTGTTAGCAATTCTTATTCCGAGGTGTTAAATACAGTATTTCTGCACCACCTTCTGTTTTGCCCTGGGTGTTGCAAATTCAGTTTCACTTTGTGCTGAAGTAGGCAAAACGTAGCATTTAGGTAACAGCTGGAAGCTTCTTTCCAAGTGGTCATAAGAATGTAAATCTAAACTTTTGAGATTTTTTTTGCTTTAGCTTTGAAATTTAATAACATCATTAAAATTTATTTGAAGAAGAAATTACTTGGGTCCACGGGACACGTTCTTCCTCTATCCAGCTTCCCTGTGTTTGTGCCATCAGCAGAACTTGAAAATATGCTGACTGCCAGAGGGGATAGACCTGTGTGGCTGTTAACGGCAGGAGGAGGGAGTGAGGAACAGTGTGTTGGTACTCCAGTATCATTATTACTGTCAGCACCTTGGACTTTTGTAAATGGTGCTGTCATTCTCATGCTAAATAACAGTTGCATCTGTTTATTGCTGGTAGGCTTAACCAGATACTGATGTCCACCTTTCCCTTTGTCGGGGTTGGAAAACTATTAAGCTAGGCTCCTAGAAAGCAGGAATCGAATCTGGATGAAGATACTTGGTTAGTAATTTGTCAAGTATCTGAAAGTGAGTAGCTTTGCTAGCTCCAACTTACTGTGAAACAGTTCAAGTTTTTAGCACTGACAGAGACTATACTATCTGGAAAAACAACTTTAGTTACATCATGTAGTGTTTGCAATCTTATCTTCAAAACCTGCTAGTGCTAAAAAAGCAATTTTGAAAATAATTTACACCAATCCCGATTTCATAAAATAAACACTACCCAGTAACTATGTACCTATCTCTTTGTGATTATTTTGCTATCTTAAAGTTCTCACAAAAAAATTAAAGAGTTTCAGAGGATTTTTTTAGTACCTAACTGCAAAAGTATGTGTACTCAGATATTGAGGTGCTTCCTTGTATTAGAAGGATTTATCATTTAAATTCAAAATTTTAAAACTATGTAGGTCCAGGTGGGAAGCGTTTCATGAATGAAATTAAGTGACTGCAGAGTACTGGAAACACTAGACTTCAGGAGGAAAAATAAGAGATACTTGCAATAATCAAACATTTTAATGCCAAGAGTCATTGATATAAAGTCAGAATTTGAAGGCCAACACTTCTTTCTAGAATGAATAGTTGTGATTTTTTTTTTCCAAGCTGCACGTCTATATTTTAATACAGAACTGTGCTTTGTAAGAAATTGTATTTACTTTTCACACACAGGTGTTTTGTCTAAAACAGGTGGTGTTTTACTGAAGAATTTTGTTCTCCGCAATTGTATCTTAAATCCTGAAACGATTTTGTCACTCCTATTCCAGCTAAGCCTCCAGAAGCAGTAACTCCTTTCCTGTACCATGTCTGTTTAATGGTTCCTTCTGTAGGCCAGTTGCATAATCATTGAAGTGTATGTTTGTCCCTCATCAGATACTGTTCCGAGGCCAATTTTTTTTCTGCAAGGAATTTTTACTCATATAGAGAATGTAGGAGTATAGGGATTCAAGGACTGTTACACATTGGCTTGTTTTGTGTGTGGTTTTTTGTTTTGTTTTGTTTTGTTTTTTAAGGGCTTTCACTACTGGCACAGCAAAACTTTCTTCTGTTCAAGTCCTTTGAAGTCTTTGTCTGCTGTCCTTCATTTCCCTACTAAGTTTTTAGAACTTACTTACAATGCTAAAAAGCGTAAGATTTACAGTCTTGGGGGAGAGTGAGGGGAGTCATTGTTCTGTTAGCAGCGCTTCTACTGTTATGAACCAAAGTACGATACCATGTCAGGAATCTCTTTAAATATATTTCAGGTTAATGGAAAACGATTGACAATACTCACATCATTACATGTTTCCTGTTACTAGCTGATGAAGTCATGGACTTGTACAGATAATGTTAGAAATATAGTAATAGGTTGGGGCATGAAGATCTGGGAGTGCAAACTGCCATGTGCTGTAGTGTTTTATGTAATTTCAAACATTTTCATCCTTCAGTCGTGTACACTTTTTTTCACATGGTTTTATTTTGTTGGTTTTTTTTTTTTGTTTTGTTTTGTTTTGTTCCCATTATCTAACTTTTTGTTTTCCCCCTTTAAATGTTTTGGTGATTCTCCAGAACCAACGAAACGTATGCTTTCCTTCCAAGGGTTAGCGGAGTTGGCTCACCGTGAGTATCAGGCAGGAGACTTTGAAGCAGCAGAGAGACACTGCATGCAGCTTTGGAGACAAGAGCCTGATAATACTGGTGTGCTTTTATTACTATCATCCATTCACTTCCAGTGTCGCAGATTGGACAGGTAGGAGACTTGAGGTGTTGTGTCAAGCTTTCTTTATAGTTTGCACCTCTAATAGTACTAAGCATAGCTGACAAAAGTTCTATTCTAACATTGATTTCTTTTTTTTATCACTGAATGCAAATACTGACTTACTGGCAGCAGTAAGGACTGGTCAAAAATAATGTTCTTCCTTTTTGAATTTTGTTAGAGTAAGAGAAATACAAATTTGAATAGCTAGCTTTACAACAAACAACAGGTCTTGCCATTATTATTCTCATGCTATTTTAAAATACTGTACACATTAATATTGGAGTGTCAGCCACACTTGTGTGTACTGCAGGTATTTGCATATGTTTTTTTAAAAAAAAAGCTTTTATTTACTTATTCCATCTGCACTGTGGGGGTTTGTGGAGTTTGGTTTGTTTTTTTTTTAAGTTGCAAGACTGATTGTTTGCTGTGAAATGGCATGATTAGGTAAGGATTTTGTCATCTGAAAGTTGTCTCTATTGTTTCTGCTTGCCTGTTCCTGATCTTGCTTTCTGTGCCTCAAGCATTTTGAAATTTACTTGAAATTTCTAGCTGTAAATCTGTGTGAGCTGGTGAAGGAAGTAAGAACTTTTGACTGAGGTTTATTTTAATAGGTTTCCAAATGAAGTTGTAATAACAGTTGGATATAGGAAAATAAGATGGGGGAGGACACCACAGAATTTAACATTACATCTCTCAGTTATGTCCTGCTTCTTGAAAAGAATATTGAGTGGAACATTACTTAAAGCATACAAATGTTGGAAGAGGCTTCACAGAATTTCTGTTGTGTTTTCTCCAAGTGCGTTGAGTTCAGGTTTGATGAGGCAACTTGAACCCTACTGATTGTAAATGAGAGTTGTCTGTCTTCAGCAGAGTCTAAAATAGGAACAGGGGAGATGATAGTTTAAGCTAGGAGAACCTAAACATACAAGACAGCCTTGTAAATCCAGATTTGTTGGCTGTATGTTTGGCTCACTTAAGCATGAATGTTCATTAAGTAACTAGGGAAACAGGCAAATGCTGAAAATCAAGGGTTGAGGGTTTTTTGGGTGGTGGGGTTTTTTGGTTTTTTGTTTGTTTGTTTTTTGCTAACTTGTCTAATTTTCTCCAGGTCTGCTCACTTCAGCACTTTGGCTATTAAACAGAATCCACTGTTGGCCGAAGCCTACTCAAATCTAGGCAATGTGTACAAGGAACGTGGACAGCTACAAGAAGCAATTGAACATTATAGACATGCACTACGCCTCAAACCAGATTTCATTGATGGATATATTAATTTGGCTGCTGCACTGGTAGCTGCAGGTGATATGGAAGGAGCAGTACAGGCATATGTGTCTGCCCTTCAGTACAACCCTGTAAGTAACAGTTTATTGTATAGAAGAACTCCATACTTTACTACTGTCCCAGGACACACAAATAGCAGGGTTCAAAGAATGAACAAGTGATAATCTTTCCCTCCAACCTGTACACCATAAACTTAATGATCTACTTAATACTTTTTTTTGAGGATCTTTGAAAGACCTCTGTAGCAAAAAGTTTTATATTGCAATACAGTAAGGGCTGCTGTTGTGTACTTATCTGTATTGTTGAGATAACAGAAAAGCAAGGAACTGGTTTTCTCTTTTTTTGCCCTGAAGTCAGAAGTTCCAGTGAATAACCTCGTATTTAGCTTCATGTGCTTTAAGGCAGTATTATTACAGTGAGAGTCACTGCTTAGACTCAAATGTGAGCTCTTGAAAAATCATCAGGTATTAACTTTATCATGAATTCAGAAATTTCATGGTGATGAGAGTTGCCCTGGTTAGACTTAAACTGTGGACTGGTTTACAGAAGCATCATTTTTATGTTTTATAGGCTGAAGCTGAGTATCTGTCTATAAGTGACTCCTATAAAATAGATCTGATGTTTGGATTTTTGTTGCAACTGTTTTGAATTGACATTTCTAGTAAATAGTGTATCAGACTGCTATCTCCTGTTTATTTTGCACTGTACTCAAATAATTTGTATAGTACTGCTCATCATGATGAAGGTACCTGCTTGCTATTTGGTCATACATTTTGTCAAAAAATACTTAAAATGCAGCATCAGTCTGGTGTGCATATATCCTTTTTCCTTTGGAAAAGCAAATGTAAACCCAGTCCAAGAAGAGCTCAGAATCTTGTTTGCTGTGTTCTTCAGCCTAGGTGAACTTGTCTAACTTATGCGAAGTGGTGTGACTAGTGGAGTTTATGCACTGGTTAAAAATACTGTAAGATGGTGTTTTCTTACAGGAGTTGAGTTTTGTTTAGGTTAGAAACTTCTTTTGTTGGCATTGACAAAAATGTCCCCATTCTTTGTGGTCTTTACTGCTAGATACTGCAGTTGCAGCCTGTGCTGTGGTTACAAATGAAAGAACAAGAACATGTGGCAAGGCTGTTGAAAATGGGTGGGTTAGGGGGAAAAACTGAGAAAAACTGCTTTGGGGATACAGGAAGCAAAATCACTATATAATCTATTTAAAAGCCATAGCGGCAATGGTGTAACTTAAGAATACAGGTTTGCAGTCATGCTTTAAAACAAAAAAAGGGGGCTTCAAATATATATGGCAAAAGAACTTAAGCTGTTTGTGTGGGGGCATTTGTCTTCAGGTTTCTTTTATATTTCTGTTTAAAGAGGAACTATATGAAATATTACTTTCTTCTTTGTATTTCTTTATGGTTGTATTTTTACAGTACTAAAATCAGTAAGATCTGTTGGCTGTAATGTTAGGTCAAGAAAAATAATTTACATTTGTGATGTATTTATTAAGAATTTAAAATAAGCTGTAGAGGACTGGGGTGTTCCTTTGCAAGTTCTCTGTGAAGACCTTTGGGGCGTCTGAAGTCCTGAAGCTGATAGCGTGACTTTGATTTTTCAGGACTTGTACTGTGTTCGTAGTGACCTGGGGAACCTGCTCAAAGCCCTGGGTCGCTTGGAAGAAGCCAAGGTAGGTGTTGGGTAGAATACATGTAAACGTCAGTGTTTTGAAAACTTGAACATTGCACCAAGTCTTCAAATCTGCGTTGATCTACAGACAGTCTGAGAAACTGCTGAAAACTGAAGGCACTGAAACACCCCAGAGTAGTTGCAGGGCAAGATATGGCATGTCCATGTTTAAAAGTTGGTTTAAGTCAAGAAATGGAACATTACCAAGCCTTTCTGCTGAACTAGACTATCTGATACCATTCTGAAGTATTGGGCAGGGGCTCCATCATGCTCTTATCTGGAAATAAGTAACAGTCCTTCAAATCTGAGGCTTGCCTGCTGATGCCAAGCAGAGAGCCTGTGGTTAGCTCGAGATCCCTGTCCGATGCAGGTGCTATTGAAAATGCTGCTCTTCTAAAGTCCTTTGTGGCTTGTAAGTGGAGAAGAAACTTATCCAAATGTTACCTTGTAATATTGGCTTTTAAAGATTTTTATTCTTTTAACTTTTCCCTTCCCTTGATAGTGGAAGAAAGGCTAGTAAATGATCAATAGCCGCAGTATGCGAACCCCCCGAATATCTTTTCTTCATGTCTTCCCTCTCCCCTCCCCCAAAATAAAGAAATCGGAAGGACAAAGCTGGTTTGTTTGGGAAATGAACTGATCGAAAGAAAACTTGCTGTAGTGGAAAGGTGGCTTCTAGCAGTCTTGTGTTTCCTAAACTGTGAATTTGAACACCAAGATGAGTTTAAAATTCTTGGCATGTTAAAACTTGGATTGCACAAACAAATTGTCTTGTTACAAGCCACCTTACGCGTCCGCGCTGCAGGGGTGAGGAGTGTGGAGAAATCGGAAACACTCTGGACTCCACGTCTGTCACTCCAAGCCCCACGCGCATGCTAAAAAGTGGAGTGTATGAACAGCGTAGCTGTCTGTTTGGCTGTAGCACCATTTGGGGAGGGTTATGGTCTTTATGGGGTAATGGGAGTGCAGGTTTAAAGTTTGTATTTTTTGATTTCTCTTAACAACTTGGATGTGCGTACCATCCTGGGGCAGCCTAATTGATTTGGTCAGATCCAAGTTGAAAATATTTTGTAGCAGCATTTAGAGTTTGAACAGTCTTTGAGACACTTGGTTCTCAGCCCACCAAGCGGACAGCTAACATGAATTGCACTTCACTGCAGCTTTAGTGTGACTGGTATAGGCCAAGACACTGCGCCTGCCTTAGGTTGCTGACTTCTTTGTTTCAGAGCTCTGGAGACACCTAGTTTGAAAGTGTTATTCCGTTTTGTGAGAACTTAATAAATGAGGAAAAACATCTTGAGTAAATTGCAATGTGTTTCTTTGGTTATCAGTCCATTTGAAAGATCAAGCCAGCAGATTCCTTACAGTTTGAACTAAAATTTAATTTCTTTGTAGATATTTCAGAGCCTTTCTTCCAAAAAAAAAAAAAAAGTCCCTGCTGTATGCAATTGCCCTGATTAACCCTCTCCCTTCTGCATGTCTCCCTTGTTACAGACAGATTGTCCTCATTCCCATGTGTTAAGACATATCCAAAAAAATGCAATTGCTTTGTTGAACTCTTACTAATGATCTTGTTTTATTTTCTCTCTTGTTTTTGGTTTTTCACCACTGATATTGTATTTAGAAGGTTTCAGGTGGGTGAAACCTCCTATTCCATGCGTAAGGTGCCTCGCTGAAGGGAGCTCGAGGCCTGGATCTAGGGCAGACACACACCTCCTCCTCCTCTTCCAGCAAGGAACGCACCGAAAAGTCACATGATGAGAAATATGGTAACGGGTTTGTAACTGCCACAGCAAAACCATTTGCCTCCATGCCTGAATCTTCTGTCTTGTGGCTTCAGAAACAGCTTAAAATATTTAATTACAAGCAAGTAATGTAAGAATATTTTATACTAGTAGCCACAAATTCTTTCAAAGAAATAAAGTAAAAGTAAATTAAAATATTTTTTTTAAAGAAATAATTGGAGATAGTTAATAGTAAAAGCTTCTAACTCTTCTGGTTGTTCATTTTTTTTCCTTTTTTCTTCTTTGTTTGGATTGCAGCATTCTGCTCTTCTGATGATGCGCTGTGATCCTGCAGTAGCGCAAAGGCTGCGCAGCGGTAACGCGCAATGCGTGCGATTAAGCCCTTGTGAACGGTTGACTAGATGATTAATCTCTGATTGGGTGACTGCCCAAGCTCCAGGCTGTAGCCTTTTGGATATAATTGGGTTGTAACGCATTTAGAGTTCAGACATCAAATTTAATATGTGAGTTTCTGTATGGGCCTGTCTGGTAGATTAATGATTCTGGTTGGCCGTTCACTGGACCTAGGGGCAATCAATATAGCAAAGCAGTTCGCAGCGATAGCGTGGCGCCGTGCTGTTTAGGATGCGCAGCGATTTTTTGCGCTTGCATTACAGGGACCTAAACCTTCATGCAATCCTGTCATTTGAGGTTTTGAAGCTGCAGATGATTGAATGTATTTGAAGAAACTGGGAAACAAGATATGGATTGGGTGTGTCATCTCACTTGACAAGGACAACTAAAAGGAAGAATGGCTTCATCTTTCTCAGTAGCTTTTCTCATTTTTTAAAGTAATTTCTGTCTGGTTTAGAGTATTTCACAATTCATAATTTTATTTCATAGTGAAGTTCTTTTTACACAGTAATTTTTTGTTTTTTATGCGCTTAAGGGTGGCAGATATTTCTGCTGAACTACTTGAATTATTTCTAAGATGATTTCTGCGGTGACCTGGTGTATAAAGGCATGTTAATTTGTTATCAGCATAACTGAAAAATGGTGGGCTTGCACCTGGGTTTTGGTTTGCGCTGGCGCAGGATCAACAACAGTTTGCAGCGCATTAGTTTTGGCGCAAGCTAGCCTATACTGCAGGGTCACTTTTGGCTGGTTAGAGAAGGCATACTAACAATTATTTTTTTCTCATTTTTTTCTTTTTACAAATATTCCCCTTCCCTTGTATCTCTCTTCTTTAACTGTTCCAAGGCCTGTTACTTAAAAGCAATTGAGACTCAACCAAACTTTGCAGTGGCTTGGAGTAATCTTGGCTGTGTTTTCAATGCCCAAGGAGAAATTTGGCTTGCAATTCATCACTTTGAAAAGGTAACTATCTAAGCCAGTCAACTTCATTGCTAGATTTTACATGCAGTTGTCTGCTTGTAGATGATAGAAATATTTTCATCAGCAGAGAACTTCGGATGATCTTGTTAGTGAACAGCCTGTGTTAATAGTTTTTTTTACTTCCTGATGTTTCAGACTGCCTGTATGCCACTAGAGAGATATGTTTAGAATTGCCCTGAGGACTTCACACATATGTCAAATATAAGAAAATTCATTCAGTTGTTTTACAGTCCTTTTCCGGAATAAGTTTTTTAAAAATCTGATTTGATGGGAATAATGTTTTGTGTGTTTTGTGTGTGAGAGGGAGAAAAAACTTTCTGCTTAAAATCATTTTTCATTGTGATTTTTGTTCCAGGTATTACTGCCCTTTGAGTAACTGGAGAGAACATTTTTAAGTGGCACACTAATTCCTCTTCTCCAGGATTATTTTTTCACCACTATTGTTTCAGAGTTCTCTAGATTGTTGTCATTAACTAGTTGTTTGATACCTTCTGGTTGGTATCTTAATTCAGTTTGTACTCATCTTTCAAGTGTCTGAAGTGACCTAAATCAGGATTTAAGATGTGGTGGACAGTTTCTTCCTGATATTTATGACTTAAGATCTACAAAAATAATTGTAACTGCTTGAGATTTTTTTTTGGATCTGTGTCTAGTTAGTGATAGATTATAAAGTATTTTAATTTGGAAATAATAGTTCCCATGAGAAAGACTGTAAGAGTGTGACCTGTCAAATACTCACATGTAGTTTGTTACTGCATCTTCTGTAACTTTATTGGTTCTTAAGTTTTTTGCATGTTACTAGTTTTGAAGGGAGTGAAAATGTTTGGGTGTTTCAGGGTTCCCCCCCCCCAAATGGCTAATGAAT